TACATCATCTTATCCCTCTCAATATGCAATGTTAAAGAAGGTTAATGTTCTTAAAGAAACATGACAATACTATGCACATCCATACATATAATCTGGTGTGTGCTTTTCTGAAATAATTAAACGTTCACAAGAAGTTAAAACTTCGTTGAATCTTCATTTAAAATAATTATGAAGCAAAAAAAAAAACAATTATTTTAAATTTTGATTAAACTAGTGTCGTATCAAACACCCTTACAATCAGGGTTGCCGGCGTTTGGGACGAGCCGAACGTCGGAACGTTTGGCAGACCCTCTCGACGGGTTCGGCCGTTTGGCCGAACGCGGGAAAAAAAAAAAAAAAAAAAACTTCGAGAAACAATATATGTTATGCAAAATAATAAACTGAAGAACATTTGCCTCAACGTTATATCCAAATTATTTACCAAATTTAAAATAAAAATTAAATATTAAAAATAAATAATAATAATAATAATTAAAAAAAATAAAAGTTTATAAAACGAAGATGAAATTATTGAGTGGGCGAGCACGTTTTTGACACCGCCATCTTTGACGATTTTTCTTTTTTTTTTTGCTGTGAAAAATACCATGAAAATTTATATATGTGTATCTTACATAATAGAGAATCTACAAATAAAGTTTGAAATAATAATAATTTTTTTCATGCTCCGAAATAAAGGAAAAATAAAAAGTTAAAAAAGAGAAAAAAAATTAGTGTGTGGGCAAACAAGTTTTGACGCCACAATCTTTGCCGATTTTTTATTTTTTTTTAACTGAAAATAATGACTTCAAATTTAACAGGGAGATACCTTACATCAGAAAAAACTCACAAAAAAATAAAAAAATAAAGTGTCAAAATATTTTTTTGTGGGGTCCGAACCCCGTCAGGTTCGACCCCCGTATGGGGACCCGAACGCCCTAACGTTCGGGGGTCAGCTTAGGGGCCTCCGTGCGTTAGGCCTGACAACCCTGCTTACAATGGTATTTGTCATTGTTTTGCAGATTGCACGAGGTGTATCTGCACTGTTAGTTAGGATGGTGTCGCATCGGTTTCACGCAACATGCACTCGAACCGATGTGGTCGAGGTGGCAAGTGTGAGTATAGTTTGGTTACAGAGTGTGAGGGGCGTGCATCATTCGATACATGATAGGTGGTCGGTTTCTCATTGACCATATGATCAGTCGGGACAATCGATATGTGAAGAAAAATTGCGAAGAGACTCACCAAGTGATTGAGTGATAGGGAACTTGTCGTCCCTCCACCCCTCCGCCTCTCATGTACTTTCACCTCTCTCCCCCAAGGTCCCTCCCCCCCTTCCCACCCAATCCTCATTGCCTCTGCTTTGCTTTCTCTTTGTCCACCTCGTGCATAGGTGCAGCCATGACAGGTACCCTCTGCTAGTTGTTTCCGCTGATAAATATTGTGGGAAAGTAAAAGATCGGGGCGACATTGTTCATAGAAGGAATGGAAAAAAAAAACTTTGTTAAACCTTGATATACTTTAACTTTTCTTATTTTTCTTATGTTTTTTTTAATGTCAATCCGCTTGTTATATCCAAAATAAAAATAACTCTTATGATAATGCACAATACTTTGTTACCATGACTATTCACGCCAACAAATCGTTATAAAAAACTACGAAACCTGTCAGGCTACTGCAACTGCACAATTGTCGTCCAAGTTCCGTGGTGGAGTATTCCTAATTTGTCTGATCCAAAGTCTTGTGACAAGCTTGAGGGTAGAGTTGGTAAAGGCCTATTGTCATTTCTCCATCACCTACTTAAGTTTGTCCTGTGCATGCTTGTTCAACCGACTGAATCTGCTCTTCAACTTTTGACGAACTTCCGATTCCACAAAATATATTATGGTTTTCAACCTCCTTCTTTCTCAAAATCTCCTATTTATTCCAAACTCTTCCTCCTCTTATGTCAACCTCCTCCTCTATTTCCCAACCACTACCTCCTCATTCCCCTCTTGCTCACTACCTCTTCCTTTTCCTTGAATGTTGGGTTCTTTTGTCCATCATGACGGAGTACTAGTAATGGTATTTCAAGTGACCAACTAGTTACTAGGATCCAAGTCTCATACCTGGTAGATCTGCCAGCAACGGAGAGAAGTTCGAAGAATCACTAATGGGAAGTACTTATGCTTGATTCTTTGTCGACCCCAAGTAGGGTGTCTACGAAAGACCCATGCAYGAAGTTGTTGAAATATTCGAAAATCCATACGGTGAAAGATTGAGGCCAAATAACTCATGGAGTTTCATATAATGCAGCTTTTCACGTAATTGTTTTGTTTCTGTCTGTAYGACAATCAATTGTTTATGGATTTTCATTTCAAATTGTTCTCTAGACTTCTTATCAATATGAGGTGAT